CAGCATGCCTGTGCTTCCTCCACAGCGTTCTATACTTTAACCATACATGAGGCAGCAGGGACAAATGCACCACACATTTCCTCATTTCACAACAGGTCATGCCTGCAGGAGAGCTGGCAAGCCATGCAAGCCTCAGTTGCAGAAAAATATTCAAATCCTGCAAATATGAGGGGGTGGAAAGATGTGTCTCTTCATGGAAACAGTATATTGGGAAAATATGCAACGACAGTAATAGTTAACCAGTATTTCATCACTTTCTTTTGCTGTCCAGACCAGTATCTTGTAGATTTGAACTCTTGTTCTTTTTCATCCATGTTTTTCTTGAAGGAGATAAATTTCTTTCAGTAATTTTTAGACAGGAAACAGGCAACAAATGGACTACTCATACAATCATGTCTGGGCTGGACAGGCAAATTTTTCAGGCATCTTCAAATAGGTCTACCTGGAAATCCCAGCAGACAACAAAGTGAGCCACACTGAGGAAACAGGCTTTTTCACCTGGATGGTAACCACACATGGATCTGTATTTATGGTGTGGCATTCTATTTCTAACATTATGAATTATCTAACAAGCAGAATAGAGGACTGAGAAGCTGACAGCACACTGTGTCAGCCATGAGAAGTCAGGGATTTTCAGCATCTGGACAAGAAAAAAAGGATCAGGAAAATCAGACATATTCAGCTGAAAATTACATGTGAAAAACCAAAACAAAAAAGTGAGATTTTTGAGAAACAAACAAGGTAGTACAAGTACAAGCAGCTCTCTTAGCTCTATTAGGCTTCACTGTAAGTGTCCTACTAGCCAGGAGAACATGAGGTTTACCAGCTCTCATAAGGATGGTGCCCATCTGTCTTTCTGAGACACAGGACTATGAACATACAGACCAGTTGCTGGAGATGACCTTGCTTCAGTAAGGCCTCACAACACCCACTGTGTAAAGCTGGAGAGTTTTTAGGAAACTGAAAGGACACAGCAGTAACGTGGGAGAAAAGGGAAAAAGGTTCAGGGTCCTCTTACTAGAAGAAGAGACTTATCATCAATGCAGAACTCCAAGCAGACTATGGGAAGAGTCTTTCACAGCCTATCCTCAGTCTGGAGCACGCCTGCCTTAAACACAAGGTCTTCTGACAGGTGGAGGGAGCCCTCCAAAAGTGGTGACACCATTTGCCTTCTGCTGATCTGGATTCAGTCTATTGCATATTTTGAAACTTACTAGAATCCAACAACATGACAACCCAATGCACTAAGACTACTGCTGTACTCCTCTGCTGCAAGCTGCAATAGTTTTTCATCTTGCTTAAAAATTGACAAACATTTATGAACCTTTGTGGAAACCAAGCTGAAGCTTATTCTGTTTGCTCCCCAACTGTTCTTAGTAAGAGGCCTCTACCTAAATTCTCTTAGTTTGGAAAGGCACTTCTGGGTACGATGGCATTAGAAGAATGACATGTAACACAAAGTTTCTTCCCTCTCCACCTCTCTTCCCTCCCAGTTTTCCAGAGTTCAAACAGACTCTCATGAAAGTCAGGGAGAGCAAAGCTGGAAAACAAGAGAAAACACTGTGTCCCAAGTATGAATTTTCATGTGTGGAGGTATGAAACCCCAACACCTAAGCACTTGTAACAAAACACCTGTGGGAACTGCATAGGTGATAGGTGCTATACCTATTCTGTGTAGCATTAATAGAATGAGCAGAAAGTAACCCCATGCCTGTTCTGCAGGTGATTTCAATCCACCTCTGACATTAAGGCTTATTTCAGCAGCAGGATGGCTGAGAGAAGCCCTGTGAAGCATACCTCAGACTCTTTGCATGTATTTGTAAGGTGGTGTTTAGAAGATGGGTGCCTATCCTGCTTGAAGGGCTGCACAAACTTAATGAAATATGCACTGTGGAGAAAGGCACACCCCTGCAAGGACCATCTTGCAGGTAAAAACCCAAGTTCTGGCATGGGATTTGAGTCTACAAAGCCTGGGATGAATGGTTCTTACAGCTAGCAATCAAGAGGCAAAAACGATACGCGGGCTATTAAAAGTGTGGCATTTATATCTCTAACACTATGGACTATTCAGCCTAAACAGAACTCTAAAGCCTAAACATGCTTTACTAGGGGTTCAGTAGGAGCAAAATGCAGCAGTGAATCAATTTTATCCGGAATAGCGTGGGAGGAGGGAGAGTTCCTTTCCTATTTTGAGAGCAACATCTATGCTACACATGCAGAGCCAAAGCCTTCTAATCCAGCAGGCTGAATACATACTAGTTATTCAAACTCAAGAACGTGTGCATAAAAGGAATTTCATACAATTAGTCCCCGTTGTCCTCCTCAGTTCATGCTCTCTATAAAGTTCTCATTCCAGTGTTGCTACATTACACACTCAGACCCATCTTTTTGCCTCCCACATTGCCTTCAGTAACGTAAAAACGTTAGACAAGCAGGCAGGAATATGTAAAAAGAGAGTATCTGTACAGCCACTGATGTATCATTTAGTCAACAGGCTCAATTCATGGACCATTTTAGCAAAGCAAAAATCAAGTGAAGTAGAATGAAAATGGGTAATGCTATTTCAGCCTCAATATTAGAAAATGTGTCAATTTTCTGCCAAACTAATGTAATGGAACACAGCTCCACTATGATTTTATGAAGAATTTTTTCATGCTATTTTAGCAGACCATCACTCTGACTAATGTGCAAAAAAATCTTATGGGGGGAAAAAATTTATATTTATTCTCAACTAATGAAAGTTTCCGCGCATCTCTTTTATACAAAGATACAAACTTTTGTGTCTTTATTTATTAAACAAATAACAGAAGTTTATATCTTCAGCTTGAAAGCAAAGAAGAGTGCAAATGTACCTGAGGAGGTCTGAGTAAGGAACTGATCCTAGTTTATGGTGAAAAACTCATACAGCACAGGGAAAAATTAGTTCCAAAAACACACTTAGAGAGAAGCTGTGTAAGTCACTGGCAACATAAGTATCATATTGTAACCAGGAAAGAGAAGAGATAACTAAATTCCCCTCAAAGAACAACCTTGTTTCAGGAGTTCCTTTGATACCTTCCAGCTTGGGACAGCGAAAGCGCAGAAAAGCAGCAACAAGGGAGCTTGGGAATGTTCCCACTGAATCCCTGCAGCCCCACTGGAAACCTCCCATCATTGAAACAACACTCTTTCCCCTCTTTCCTAGCTTGCCCAATTATTAATTTTGGTGGGTTTTTTGTCAGCTGCTGGAGCACTTCATAGGGACACAACATGGAGGGCTGCCAGCCTTCCCAGAGCCAGCTCCGAGTAGAACACTCTTGGCTCAGCAGCAGACCACAGAGTGCAGCAGAAGGAAACACAGGGCCGTGAACTCACACCCATCTTGCTCTTGCCCCCCATACACACCCCCTACAAGCAGGTCTGCTCGGAGCCTGAGCAGTAATTCACTGGTGCCCAACACCATCTCTGCTGGAGACCATGGTACCTGCCAGCAGGCCCTACCCATGGGCACACCAAGAACTGCTCAGGTTAAAACTGGGCACATCTAGAAGTCAATATGCCAAACTTGACCATTAACATATATTTTTTGCTTGCTTCAGGAGTTACAGGAACTTACAGAGTAACTATAATAGAGATTCGCTATTTGGAGCTGACAAGACAAGACCAGTGCAAAGATCAGACATGGTGGCGCAGAGAAGTGGCGATACAAGCTGCCCTGTTGCCATACCTGTCCTCAGACAGGGGAATACTGCAGGAGCACAGGCATCCCAGCCTCCTCCCTTGCTCCACAGGCAGTTGGATCTCCATTGGCTTTAGGATACTATTACAATAGTGATAAATTCCTGGGGATAGGGTCCCCCAAGAAACAACTATGAAGCAGCATGAACTTAGTGTTCACTTCACTTTCTTGCAAATGACCCCTGGTCTTCAGCCAATTAATAGCTTTAGTCTAGAACAACATCCTGACACGTACCACCAGGCCAGCCATCACCTGTGGCTTTTGATTTGTGCAGAGAGTAGAGGCCATGTATGCAACTGACAGCCCTAAAGGATAATACACTACCCTTTGTTTAGGAGGAGAACACAAATAAACCGCAGATATACTAGCAATACTGATATGTATTTATCAGTATTTAAAATATTCTGCAGAAATCCTCCACGTCACAAGGCTCATTCTGGAAGCCATCCCTAAGGAATTGTAGGGAAAGTGAATGTGCCATTTGACACATTAGGGACACACTTTCTTCCCTATTACCAATAAAACCAGCTTCTTGAAAATTCTTAAATAACCAAGGATTTAGCATTACACAACCATGCAGAAAATACTACAAGATTGCAAGAAGCATTTAGTCACTATCATAACAACAAATCCATAGGGGCAGATTCAGTGGAGTCACAGACCAAACCCATGTTTCTTTCAAAGGTTGGAAAAAAACATGGAAAGAAAAAGGAAGGGATGTGTCAATCCTTCCACACCTCATCCTTTGACAGTAACTACTCCATGCCATCTGGCTATTAAGGACTGTCAGCACTTGAAGAATATCCATGATGCTTTCCTGACTGCTTCCACAGAAAGGAAAAAGAAAAAATAAGTCCTAGAAATTTCAGCTGACATACTACGAAGTGAAAGCTATCATCCTGCTGCCTCCTTTTTTTTTCGGGGGAAAACTACTTCAGCTGTACTCACTATATTTCTTAGCAAAATTGCATTTTGAAAACAGTGAATATTGCTGAATCGGTGTGAGGATTATGGCATTGAACTTTAAAAACCCAGGTGATGGAGCAAAGCCCTCACCCCGCACACGCCTCTTACTGCCCAACGCGTTGCAGCAGAGCTCGCTTGAAGATAAACCAACAGAAACCAACATCTAACTTGTCCATTTGACATTTCTTATGAAGGCCGGCCTTACAAAGAGAGCCTGAATTCAGCCCCTGAGGGCTTCGGCAGGCCGACGTGAATCTCTTATCTGATAGGCAGAGAGCGACTGGCCCATCTCACACCCCGCTGCCAGTGACTCCGTATGACTTCACCGCCCTGCGAGCGCAGCGCGGAGCTCGCAGGGCACAGTGGATTTGCCAAGGAAGGTGCACGGGCACACGGCAGCTACAACCACAACTCCTCCCACGGGCCGGGGCTGGCATCCCGCCGGGGCTGCCTTGGGAGACAGAGCTCCCAGCGAAATCCATTTAACACATTCCTGCACAGCTTCTGCCGATACCGTCCCCATGGTCAGGCCAAGCTAAAAACAAACACCCCTGCCCGGCCAGCTGTCTTGGCTGGAAGAGGAGCGTGCATTTTTACAGAAACAAAGATAACTGAGCTCGCTATCTTCTGCAGAAGTTTTTCTGGTGTGATTTTGTTCCATTACATCTGCCCTGGTAGCTAACAAAAGCAGAGCTACTGGAGCAGGAATGCACTCAGGTATCTTCATACAACATGTTACATTTTGAAATGCTTGGTTTGTTTTTCTGGACCTTCCCATATGCATTAGACCAAAGCATTTTGAAGCTACCATCTGTAGCACAGGAACTGACACATTCTCTGCTGCTTTCATATATTTGTTCATTTAAAAAGGGACTTTTAAATTGTGTATTAAGATTTACTAAAGCACTATTGTATTAAACAAGCACAACAAGTGGAACTTACTACAACTCAGATATTTCTTATAGATTCCATCCTCAAAATATTAATGAGCATAATCAGTAAATGCAAGATTTACTTGTATCACTATTCTTTGTATCTTTTGTCATTAAAAATGAAAGCTAAAAATACATGTACACCTCCCTGCTGCATACTTCAGTCCACATTCAAGCAGAAACTCCCAGACAACCAACATAAACAACTGTGATGAATGTTTCAATCTCCAATGGGCAGTGGGATGAACACCATAAAAAGAAATTAAGACTTACTATTTTTCCACCTCTCCTCAAAACACAAGAGTCTAAACCAACTCCTGTTTGGTCAGTTGTGACTTTGTAAACTCTGTATCTACCAAACCACACATGGCCAGGAATAGAATAAATCTCAGAGCAAGGATTACAAAATCATTCTCGGGTTTTGGTTGGGGTTTTCTCTTTTAAGAACCCCAACAAATATCCCCACAAAGAGAAGCAGTTCAGTCTGCTTTTAGGCTTCAAAACTAGCACAGATCTATTTTTTTCTGCTGGGTATACATTGAATGTTTGACCAGAAAAATTAGTCATAGGTCAGACAATATAGCTCGCTATCACTACACCCTTCATTTGAAGGAAAACCAAAGAAATTGTTTTTACACTTCAACCAGCTGAAACAACGGTAAAAGAAAGTAAATTCTCCTGGGTTTACTTTAAGAAAAAAAAAATCAAAATATTTTTTAAAAAAAGTTTAAAATCCCAGTTTCTCATCTGACATGTAACCAAATGTTTTTGGCCGCTGGAAAATCCTGCCATTGGTCAGGCTCGGCAATAGGCACATCCCATACACCTGGTGATGCGCGCTCAGCCCCGCATCCCGGCCCGGGGGGACAAAGCGGGAAGCGGGGATCTGTCAGGCCGCGTCCCGGCGCCAGCCCCGGGCCGGGAGCTCGGGCGAGCGCGATGCCAGGTTAACAATTTGCCTCCCTCCTGGACGCCGCGGCAGCCCTCCATTTTGTCAGCCGCCTCAATTTAAACCTTTTCCAAGGCGAAGGCAGAACTTGAGCATTTCTTCGGGAGCCCTCCGGGGCTTTAAAGCATCCCCGACCATTTTGCGCAGCCCGCTCGGAGCCGGCGCTCCGGGCTAAGTTTAGCGGGGCAGCGGCGCACGCCGCGGCTCACGGGCAGCGCCGAGCCCCCCGCGGGCTCCTGCCCATCGCTTCTCCCGGCAGCGCCTCCTCCCCGCCCGGGGACAGGCAGGTGGATGTCGGGAGGAGAGCAAGGAAGGCACGGGAGGCAGGAGCCGCCGCGGGCAGCAGGGTGCCGGCAGCAGGTAGGGAGGGCAGCGCCGGTGCCGCGCGGTGCCCGTGCCGTTCCCCCTCCCTCCGGCCCCCCGTTCTTACCACCTGCGGAGGCGGCCGGAGCCCGCCCGGGCCGGGGCAGCGACCTGTCCACTGCGGGCGCTCTCCTCCGGAGGTGAGGGGGCGGCGGGGAAGGGCATGCGGGAGGAGGGAGGGAGGGCTCCCGCCGCCCGCCTCTCCCTCACCTCCCTCCCCCTCCTCCTCCTCCTCCTCCTCCTCCCCGCCCAGCCCGGCCCGGCCCGGCCCCCCCGCGCCCCTCGCCCCCCTCCCGGCTTGGCTTCCGCGGCGCGGCCCCGGGCCGGGGTCCCCTGCGCTGCTGCGGCACTTACTGTGTCACCCTGTCAGTCTGGCTGCCTGTCCCCTCGGCAAGCATAAAGGCAATTGCCCACTAGCCTCGCCGCTGCCGCCCGAAACAACTTTGTCTTCTTGCAGTCGCTGGGAAAGCTCCTCTTTTTCCTTCTTCTTCAATAAGGGGGGGGGGGGAACCCCCACCAAACCAAAAATAAAAAAAAAGCCCTCCCAAAAACAACAACCAAGCCCCAGCAAATTTAAAAATTAGAAAAGAAAAAATATATTCGGCTTTTTTTTTTTTTAAGAGTGGGAAGCGTGAAGGTGGGAGGGGAGAGGAGCAGAAAAAGGAAACATTTGAAGCTTTGTAGCTCTCTTTTCCCCCTCCTTCCCCCCCTCTCAAGATGGCTTGAAAAAATTAAAAGGGGACAGTGGTGAGGGGGACACACACACCGAAAAGCTCGGGAGGAGGGAAAAAGTTTTGGGGGTTGGGGTTTTTTGTGTGTGTGTTCGGTCTTTTTGTTTGTTTGGGGTTTTTTGTTCTGTTCTTTTTTAAAGCCTTAGAATCCCACAATGACAGCAGCGACTACAAACAGCCGGGAAGAGCAGGCACAAGGAGAGAGGAACGAGCGAGAGAAAAGAGTTTTGCTGGTCAGTAAACTTCAAGCTGCTGGGATGAGGTCATTGGTGTAAATATAAAGCGATGGCGTCATTTGAAACCAATCCCAGTGAATGAACTCAGCCGGGGGGGTGAAGGTGGGGGAGAGGGTGAAGGAGAAAGAGGAGGAGCAGCGAGGGAGGATCCCTGCGGGGCCGCGGCGGCCGCGCAGCCCCGGCGGCGGGAGGCGATGGCGGAGGGGAGGGGGTCTCTCACTGTTTCACCCCCGGGGGAACGCGGGCCCCGCTGCCCGCGGCCTCCAGCCTCAGCCGCCGGGCCGCCCCTGGGAGGAGCCGCGGCCGCGGAGCGATTCAACCGAGCCGCCGCCGCGGCCCTTCCCCGCCCCTCGCCCGGCCCTCGCTGCGCTCCGGCCTCTCCGCAGGCCCCGCGGCCCGCCGGGCGTGTGGCCCTGGCGACGCCTCGGGCCCGCGGCCTGCTCCGCTCGGCCACTTCTCCCCTCCTTCCCTCCCATCCTGTCCTCTCCGGCGTGCGCCAGCTGAGGGGGTATCCCTAAATACCGCCCTGGCCTCTGCTTTCACAGTGTGCCGCGGTGCCGTGCGATGCACAACCACCCGGGTGTGAAGGCGTCACATCCTCCTGTGGTAGTGCTATGGGATCGTACAGCCACAGAGTGTTTGAGGGAAGGGGAAGGAACTTAAAGTCATCCAGATCCAGCCCCTGTCACTGAGGGGGGGCAGAGCACCCTGTGGGTCATGTGGAACACTGGGGGCCTTTGCCCTTTAAATAAACTCCTTAAATAAATTTAAAAATCTGAAACCACACTGTAAAAGTCTATGCAGATCCACAGAAGTATATGTTATTTTTGCCTGACATGTATCTGTTATGATTAGTACCAATCCGAACTGGCAAGGTACATCCTTCAGGGGCTGCATGGGTCCTGTCTGTTGTGCATCCCTCTTCCAGACATGATAGAATATTTTGCAGTCCTCTTTCTCCCTTAGAGGCATCATTACTATGGGGAACCTCCTGGCACTGCTGGGCATGCAGGGCAGCTTGCACACCAAAATTCAAACTCCAGTCCATCACCTCTGATGGCTTTGAATCCCTGTGCCAGAAACCCTTGGAAGACAGCATGAGAAAGAGGATTAACTGCATGGCTCCTTATGTTCTTGGTGGCTGTCTCTTACAAAGTGCCATTGGAAAAGCACATGGCTGTCACTCATAGTAAAATGGTTTGGATGTTTGGTGTTTCAGGAAAAATGTAACCCAATAAATTGTATGGGGAGACAGGGGGCTCTATCCTGCCAATATTGACCAAGAACCAGCCTGATGAAGGCCCTCGTGCTACGGAGTTGTGAGCTGTGTCATGAGAACGCCTTGTTGGCACTTGTACTGAACAGTCATGTCCTGTGTGAGGGAGTGCAGAGCAGGCAGGGACAAGAGAAGCCCAAGCTCCACGACAGAGACAAAGATCAAAAGCAGTGAAGAAATTATGACAAAGCAGTTAACATTGGGATGTTCACTGTTTTGCACGTGTCCCTTTCCAGTAGCTGAAAAGCAGTTTTGCCCTTCTCTCAATAAAGCAGTGGCCCCAAAGATGCCTTTCTCAAACCCCCAAAATGCTCACAGCATTAAAAATCTGCACAATTAACTGCTGGTTAACAGAGCTAGAAGTGACCCATTTTGATGAAGGGGATCAGAGAGTGTGCCAGAGAAACTGGAGGTGACGGCCAGTGCCCCAGCTCTTTCATTCCAGAAAATTGCAGGAACAAACAGTTCCAGCATGGTTATCCTCACAAAGAGAAGTGGGGAGCAGTGGAGAGAGGTGCGTGGTGAGGAGGAAAGACATTTCAATTCTCTCTTCCCTTTTCTCATCTCAACTCAGTAACACCTTATGTAACAGGTTTGGGTTTTGTTTAAATTGTGAGACTGAAAATTTCCTGACTGTAAAACTGTAACAATAAGAAGTACTTGTGATCTTTTGAAAATATTTTTCTTTTTAGCTAAAAAAAAATATATGCAGAAAAGTCTGTACTGGAACAGCAAATTAAAGCTTTTTTCAGTACAGAGTCAGGATATTTCTTTTCCTAGTGTAATAAAAGATGTGACAAAAACCAGTGGTATCACAATTAATTCCTGCATATTGAAATTATTACTAAGAATAACTTTTTCTTTTCAGCCAAGCTTGAGTCAAAAGTCTGATTTGGGAGCACATTGCAGGGTGAAACTGGACAGGTTCATTGCTAACCTCAAGACACAAACAGAAGGAGTCAGGAAGACTCAAACACAGCAGCATCAGACCTTGCGTCATTGAGAGTAGGAGCTGCATCCTTTGCCTCCTGTTTGCAGTGGCCAAAGCGTGTTGGCAGCTGACATCCCTCAGCTGGCCGTGGCCACATGTACAGGAGCACAAACTCCTTTGCATGTCAGAGTCTTAACATCATTTAACTCTTTTTTTTCCCCCTCTGAGAAACTCTTTTTTCCCCCTCCTGCCTTTCGTTCCTCCCTACCACTTGCGCAGCAAGCTCCTGGAAATGATCTGAACTGCAGGTGCAAACCAGGAGAGGGTCAGGCCTTCATCTGGCAAACACCTGAACCATCTGGGAGAGAGAGAGTGCCTGGCTTTGCTGATGTCCCTGGCTGCTGACTTCCCCTCCCCAAGTTTTTGAAGTCTGTCAATTCTATGAAATGTATTTTTCTGCACTTCTGGTGATGAACTTTTTGGCCTAAGTGCACTGTTTGTTTTTGAGAAAATGGTACTGAAAGAGTTAAAGTTAGCGTTCCTTTCTTGTGCCTCCTTATGAGGCTTATGAGATACGAAGATCAGCAGTGTCTATATGGGGTGAAACGAGGGCAAAAGACACTGTGGTGGCTATCCAACCGGCTATGCCACAGCCCTTGAACTTTGACACTCCCCCCTGTCCTACCCGTCCAAGCCTCACTTGTGGCAGGAGTGGCTGCAAGTGTGTCACCCCTGACTGCCCCTCTTCCTGGGGGCCAGCGAGGGGCAATAGCTGGGTACTTTGAAGAGCTGGAGGTCACCCACCTTTTTTACAAAGGTTTCTCTTCCTTTATTACTAAAAGCTAGTTCAGCTTTGTGTTCCTTTTCCAGCTAATGGACTTTGTGGCACTTCATTGGGTTAATCAGTTAGCAGTGATTAAACAGGGGAAAGATAAATGACAGCCTGAGTAACGTCATCATGGTTTCTGCGTGGTGGAAAGGAGTGGTTTGCCAGGGAAGCCTCTTGTGAAATAAGTGAGAATTGAACTATAAGCACAGAATTTACCATGCTTTAAAATCCCCTTGTGGGTGCTCACTTCCTCCATAGGCTGCAGTGGAGTTGTTGAAGAAGTTACCATTCCCACACAGCTCCCAGTCACCATCATGCCTGCCTTCTGCCAAAGGCTACCACCTCCCCTCCCTACCTGCAAGCTGCTCACTCAATCCCTCCCAAATTAGCTTTGGCCAAAGTCAACCATAGCAGCTTAAGCAGTTTAAATAGTAGAAGTCTGCTGTGCTGGTTTGTTTTGGCTGAAGCAGATTAGGGGAAACCCAAGTCACCAGATGGGAAGTGAGGTGATGACTTTTTCATGGACGGTTTCAGGGGCAGTGGGAGGTTGGGCCTAATCTGCCTTCAGAGCAGACTTCTGTACCAGACATAGCTGCTACTGACTGTTCTTCAGGGTATTTAAAAGTAGAAGTGTTGCTGAGATACTCACGTTGAAACATTTGTAGCATTTTTAGATATCACTCCCTTTGTTGGCATGGAGAGCAGGGTGCAGCAGTCAGAGCAGCCCAGGTTTGTGGGAGAGCAGCAATGGGAGCATGAGGATTTGGAAACCAGTAGCTATAGAAGATGTAGGACCGAGGGTGGGGAAAGAGCAGAAGAGAGAACTTTGTGGCTATAGATCAGCGGGAGATCTCAGGGCTCAGTCCAGAGAGGAGGGATTTGAGCAGCATGGGAAATGCAGGCATCAGAGACATGGGGTGGAGGGTAGCAATGCTCAGGGGCAAACAGTGATTCTTCCCTTCCATGTGTGCATCAGACCTTGGAAGCTCCATCCCTCTGGAAAATGGTTGAATGAGAATAGCCTCACTAGTCTGTCACTGCAGGTAGTTTTCATAGGTCTACTTCACTCTAGCTTCTCCAGGACTGCCAGATTCACGGCCCATCCAACAAGCTGGGGGTGGAATGCAAGTGGAGGGGTCTAGGTTCAATGCAGATATGGGTTTGGGCTGGAATACAAGACAAAATGGAGCAATATTCTAATTCCCTGAAAGAAAACAGTGGATGATTTGAAGCAATGAAAGAGAAAAGAAGAATTACAGGAACTGGAACAGCAGAAAGTACAGAGAAAAAAGGAAGGAAAGCATCAGCTGTTTGCTTCCCTGCAACTTCATAAACCCTGTATCCATTACTCAATAGAAATGTACATTATTCCTATCTCTACCCTTTATTTTTCTAAGCCTTTTTTGGGACAGGGTAGTATCATGAAACCAAGTTTTGTTTTATGGATGTAAGATTGAGTTACTTAGATGAAGTAACTCATCTAAGGTATAGCAAGATGGTTACAGATCAGAAAAATGTACCAAATTCTCTTAAATTCCAAATCTAACCACTAATTTATCCTTTTCCCTCTCCTCTCTTGCATCTCAGAAAAGAAATTGTAACTTTTACTTTGCTTACCTGCACAGGCAGTTATTAAAATTAAGCACTTGCACAAAAGCTTGTTGGCTAGCTTGCAATTAAGGGACACACACACACAAAGGCTATAAGTGAGATATATAACATAAGACAATGTGAAAAGACAATGGAAGAAGTAACAACAATTTCTGGTTCATAGGGATGGCCTTTATCAAGCTTAGGGGGTTTTTCTAAAATTCTAGTCATTTTAGAAAAAGAAGTTACTATTTTGATGGTCAAGCCACTTCTCTATGAAACAGCAAGATGAAGTTTCGAGGAGGCATTTGAAATTGGAGATCATAATAAATATTATTTACAGAAAAGGAGCATAATAACATGTTGTCATCAGGAAACAGAATAATGAAGTACTGTTCTCAAGAAACATCAAGTTCAGACAAATCTACAGCAACTGAAAAACTTAACTAGTAACATATCTCACTTTCTCATATATCCAAAGAGAGAATATTTAAATTAAAAAAAAAACCAACCAAAAAAGCTGATACATTTTTTAAAAAATCACAAATACATTCCAGAAATTAAGATAGTTGTCACAATAAACACCCACCTCACTTACTTTTTGCTCTTACTCACTGTTAGTCACTTGTCTGTAGGCTGGTACACTTTTATTGAAATGAACTGCTAATGGGCTGTAAGCACAGATGGTGTAAATCATCATTGCTCAACTCACACTTCAGTTGCTATGCTGGTTTATACTATCTGGAGAATGGCTTTGTGTGTTCATGTTTTGTTTGTGGCCAATGATGAATCAGAAGTAAAATGTATTTGCGTTTATTGTGAGGGCAGGATAAAATGTATGAGATCTTTGACAATTCATAGCCTCGTTTTAACTGCTTGAGTACTTCAAATTATGCAGGATATAATAATTACCAGCCTTAAATAAATTTTAGACTTCCTGTTTTTTCTAATAATAAATATTTTCTTAGGAATGCCAAGGATATGATAAAAAAAGTACAGCATTCATAAAATGCTTTAAAGTTGTGATATGTGAAATGTCATCTGGCTCAATATAAACCATTAAGTACAAAGTTACTGTCTTGACAGTCTGCTAAAGTGAGCTCCCAATCAAGAAAATAGTTCAAAAGTCTCAATATAAAAAGAGAATATATAACCTGTGGTAATGAAGACCAGTCTATTTGTTTCAAACTACTTTCTTTTCAACATATGTACACAGGAGAGGAAATTTTCAGACAGTTTTAGAATCTTTAGCATTTCTCATAATCCATTTTGTTGTTTCTGCCAACTTTTAACATCTCCTGACACTTACAGGTGTCTTAAACATTGT